TAATCATCACTGTATGTCTAATAAATCACTGTGCCTGTTTATTGAATTCCCTGAAGCAACAGGCTTACTTCCGTACTACTCCCCAGCGCTGTGTACTCGAGTCACATGACTTGGACTCGAGTCTGATTTGAGTCACAAATTTGACTTGATATAAAATAAAATAACTTGAGACTTGACTTGGACTTGTAGCCTCAAGACTCGGGACTTAAATGAAAAGAAAAACAGAGCCAGGAACACTAATAAATAGTCTAGAGAAGGAGAAAGGTAGGCCTAAATCGATTGGGAGTAACATATATGCACCAATGATCGTTGTTTATGATATGAAGCCAAATTCTTCTTATGGAAAATACTTAATCTTTTCAGCTCACCCAATGCACAAAAGTTGTTAGGAAATGTCTTTGACATCTCATCAATATATTACATTGGTGAATGTTTTAAAATGTGATGATTGATGTTGAATTTTGCTTATGAGATTATCATCACTGTAAACTATTTAAAGTCCTCAACTTTTTTATTCAAAATAAAATGTTACAATTCAAGATGTAATTGGTTGATTAGCCTATAGGTCTGTGTTGATGCACTGATTCAATGCAAACACACACACACGCCTGGAATGTATAATGAAGTATGCAGCCTTTAGTAATTGTATGTTTTTAATCATCACTGTATGTCTAATAAATCACTGTGCCTGTTTATTGAATTCCCTGAAGCAACAGGCTTACTTCCGTACTACTCCCCAGCGCTGTGTACTCGAGTCACATGACTTGGACTCGAGTCTGATTTGAGTCACAAATTTGACTTGATATAAAATAAAATAACTTGAGACTTGACTTGGACTTGTAGCCTCAAGACTCGGGACTCGACTTTGACTTGAGACTGATGCCTTGAAATGATCTGGACAGGTTTTGTAGCGTTTTGTCACTCATTTTGTGGCACAGTCTCCGTGGATTACTCTCCACACAGCCAGAGACAGTATCGCATTTGCAAAAAAAAAAAAGATTGACTAGTGAAACGCACACTCGGCCCTCTGATTGGACCAGCAAACTGTCAATCAACACAGGTTGGGTGAGCTAGAGCATTGAGAAGGTTTGGGGGGGTTGCTAGTGTGAAACTGAATGGGGAAAAAGAACACAAAACATATTTTATAGGCTACATATACCATTTGTATTTTATATTTATACCTTTGCGTGTTCGATCTGGTCAATAACATAAGCTTATGGCATTGGACCAAATTCTTCTTTCAAAGACATCTAATCTGTGCTTCAGAACCAAACCATTGCGTGCCTTGACTGTTGACCAGTGACCAGTCATCAGCTTTGGTGCGCAAAGGCGGGCACACATCTCCAGACTAGCAACCAGAAAGCCCTTGTTTAATTGTCTCGGGTTTTGCCTGGCAAAAACAGAGTAGCCTACCTATGTTAATATTATCCATATAAAGTAGACCTACCATTTAGCAATCTGCTATAGATGCATCATTGCCACAACAATACCTGGGGCCTCATTTATAACCGCTGCATAAACTTAACACTAAATATCTGTGTGCGCCATTTTTGAAAACACTGCACACACACACAAATATAGAGATTTTTCAAATTGGCACATTCCATACAAAGGCATGTTTCCCGTTATAAATCAGACCTGTCCTCTAACTGTGCACATGTGAAAGAGCATTATAACTCCGCCTGAAAAACGCCCATCATTTTACCTTTTATGGTGACAATAACGCCCTTATTTGCTGCTGTGTAGTTTGGAAGTATTGGAATTAGGCCAAGACAGTAGGCTATCTAAAGGAAATAGCAGTGCCGAACTTGATCAAATGTCTTTGGAGGTGTTGGCAGAATGTTTTCTTTTGCAGTGACATTTGCTGTATCTGACCGTTTCTGAAAGACAAAAACAATTGCAAATTGTTGTGGACCTGTAAACAGATCGTTTGAATGCAATAATGTACAGTGGGCCTACTTACAGCGGTAGCCTACACACTTCAATGCAAAATATGTTTTAAAAAACCGCGCACCCTATCAGATGCATACAGCAAAAACTTGAAATTATAATAGCCTAACTAAGTCCCAATTAAATGAGAGATGCGCATCGTAATTTGGTGTATGGCTAGTATAAACTCATCATGGCCAGAATAAGAGAGGAATTTATTCTGCAATGGTTATTATATATGTATTATGTATTATGTTCATAAATTAAATATTGCCTACGCTAGAAATGTCACATTACAGTACTCAGACGTAGCCTACAAACGTCAATGGAAAAGGTGAACCGTCTGTTCTACGGTTAAACTGCGCTTAGGATAGGATCGCATAGAGCAAAATAGACTACTTGAAATAGTGGGTCCAATTAAATGAGGGATGGGACGAATGGTAGTCTATCCAAACCTGTTGTAGGCTTATAGGCTATTTTGCGAGTAGCCTATGAAACCATCACAGTCAGAAAAGGTGAGGACTGTATTCTGCAATGATCATGGAAATGAAATAAATAATAGGAAATATATGCCTATTTCAAATCATTTTAGAACGCAAAGAATGCACTAATGGCAGATGACTGCACCTTGTAATTACATTTAGCTAGACCTACCTGTTATTTTTTTTTTATGAATAAGAGTGTCATCATATATTCCCCATTTGCACAAGGCTACTAGGCTACTTTTGTTTGCCTTCTTGCAATGCAAGACTTCAATCACTAGAAACTGTGAGTACTCATGGTTTAAGGTTTGCGAGAGGATAAGCACATCCTCACGTCAAGTTCCGTTTTTATAAATGCCAACTTTTGCATGAAAATTGGTTCACGCATGTTTTTTTTTTGCATAGGCAACGTTTATAAATGAGGCTCCTGTTGATTTCATTGATCATTTTCATATTTCAGATAGTTTGGGTGGGTTATATAGGCCTACGTCAGTGGTGGTACTGGCTATATGTCTAAAGATAGCTGTAACATCGCACTACCTTCAATACTTATGGGATGAAGATGTAACATATTCTGGCGAATTAATTACGATATTTGTGAGGAAGGAAAAGGCTACAGACAGGTAGGCTATATGATCCTGCTTGCTCTGAACTCCAGAGAAGTGACAATGTGACATAATATCCCTAGTTGATATTGACTGCAAACACGAATGACTTTCAGCTCAAAATGCAGGTGTAAAACGCAGTTTATGTTTCTGTATCTTGTGTTTTGAAAATGCTTGATCGTTTATGGCTGTCAGGACAGGCTATATTTGCGCAGCGATTGTGCGCGCGTGTTCGCCCTGTGTGCGCGTGCGTGTGCGTGCACGGGGGACGCAAGCTTTGAACCACTCCTTTTTGGTGGTTGCGGGTCAAAAAGTGTAAAAACCACTGAGCTAGTGAACAGATTGCTGATTTGCTGTACAGCTATAGGAACGGGTGCAGCGCAAATGTCAAATTGTAGGGAGAGACGATTGCCATAATAATAAATATGCAGCTCCAAAAATGGTTTGGTGATCAAGAATATGAACCGTTTAGTTTGCAAGCTCACCAGCAATGTGGCCTATCCCTAGCCCTAACCCTAGCATAGGTCTTCCGGTCTTTTGATATGTCAAAATTGCTTGAAATTGATAATTTAGTTATGAAGATTGCATTTTGAATTTGTTGTTAAAATGAATTATTACATAATCAAAATGTGTTGTAAAAATAATGAAAAGGACTGTCTGGTTCCTCAATAAATAGACAAATATTTGTAGTTGAACAAGTCATTGCCTGTAGCTTATAGATTTATTTTTTTACTTGACTTGAGACTTGACTTGAAAAAACTTGTGACTCGACTCGACTTGCTCTTAGAATGCACGACTTGGACTTGACTCAAGACTAGACCGGTTGTACTTGGGACTCGACTTGATACTTGGACCTTGTGAGACTTGCTTGTGACTCGAATAATAGTGACGTCCCAACTCTGCTACTCCCCCCATCACTCGGCTGTATTCTTTCTTGTTATCTGGCAACAGAATACTAATAAAATTAAGCGACTCAAACATGTCTGCTTGCCTGTCGCCTCCTATGGCCTCTTTGCACGCAGCCCTAAAAACCAAACCTGGACCGATAATGACTGCATCAACCTTCAGGGAGGCAGGCAAGCTGTCACACAGACAGATTTAACCCTTTCCTGGTGTTGGCCATTTGGTGCAACACTTAGCAATGAAGAAAATAGTTATTTAAATGAAACATTTACGAGATATAGCCAATCAACAAATCTCAAATACATGTAGAATTAAGCTGCCATGTTTGTTCTAATATTTCCTGTCGACTGGACAAGCCAAATACAGAGGAAACAAATCATGTATGTGATTAAAAGTGAGTAAAAACGTTGGAGAAAATTGACACAAGTGAAAAACAATCTTCAATTGATACCTTTATTTGTTTTGACAGAAAGACAATAAAAACATACTAATTACAACATTAATATAAAAAGGTTTGCAGCACCACAGTGCAGTATTTCCATTCCAAACAAATATGATCTTAGTGGTTCTGCTTTCTATTAACAGCTATGTACAGCCTTCGACATTTTGTAGGCTACAAATCGATATAAATTATGACCTGAGTTTCTGACGTGCGCTCTGCAAACCCATAACCATGATATGGATTAACTGCACAGTTTTTCATGATTGTGTTTTGGATCTTGTTAAAATATGATTTTGCATAGTCATTTACAAAAAGAAAAAAAGAAATACAATGGAAGTGATAAATAATTTAAAACCACGCCAGACTTCCTTTAAATAGGGTACAAGTGATTCGACATCTCTTATGTGCTTGTGAATTTGAAACTGAGTTTTGAAATATTCCCGTGGTAGGTAGCCTACAGTAAAAATGGTTTACCCAGCGTTTCAGGGAAATACCTACTGCGCTCAACATTATCCAAAATAACCAATGTTTCACCTCTGTCAGGTCTACGTCCAAAACCGGCCAGTTTATAATTTTAGAGCTCTATAAAGTTCAGTTGATTTGGAAGGGCCTCGTATTAAAACTCTATAGTCTTTGTTAATAAGCAGCCCCAACGCTTTGCTGTGGTACTACTGGGTGATGCACTGCGCCCGGGTGTTGTAGATGCGATCCCTGTTGGTACCAGTGGTTGTTATAATCCTCCAGGTAGGGGGGCGACGAGCTGAGGGGTGGCTGCGGGATTTGGGGCCTGCTGGCCGGGGTAGTGAGAGAGTTATTGTCCCAGACCGTCGGTGATGGCGGGGAGTTGCACGCCATGGAGTCGCTGGCGTTTGGGCTGTGGTCAAGGGGAACCTCGCCGTTTTTGTAGAGCTTCTTGAATTTGGACCTCCGGTTTTGGAACCAAATCTTGACCTGTTAGGGAAAAGATTAACGTTGTTAGTCAAAATTTCATGTCAAAAGAGGAAAATATTATTTTCAACGAAACATCTGCATTTAAAATAGTCAAATAATCATGGTGGCCTACATCAGTAGGCCTAGGCCTAAATATAAAGTTGAGGCTTATAGGCCTACATTATAAGGACATCTGGCCCAAGAACACACATCAACAACATTTTTGTGTGAACAAATGTGGCCAATATTCAAATGCAATATAATAAGCAATGCTTTTTGACAATACAAACATTTGTCAATGAAAAACAGCATATCGGCTTCCTATTATTAATTTGGCGAGGTATGCCAGATATGAGACATTTCACTATTTGAGGACCACCTACGGAAGTCAAAGCAAGTTATTATGAATTAAGAGTGACTGCACTTAAAATGTGTGTAATCGTCTGGATATTTACCTGTGTCTGCGTCAGTCCCATTTGAGCAGCAAGTTCGGCTCTCTCGGGGAGGGCGAGGTACTGCGCTTTCTGAAAACGTCTCTGCAACGCTGCTAGTTGGTAGCTGGAGTAAATTGTTCTCGGCTTGCGGATTTTCTTTGGTTTTCCATTCACCATACGAACTTCAGGCTCGGGTTCTTCTTTCACTATAAAGAAAGAACCAACAATTGTTTCATTAGTTCTCAGTATCAGTTATGAAAAACATTTAACAATGTCAAAACAATGTAATAATAATAATGATAATAAGTCATCATCATGATAAACGTCATGTTATTATTGTGTTAATTAATATATTATTATAATCTTTATTACATTGTTATAGGCTAGCTGAAGTGGCAATAGCAATATTTTCATGAGTGGTGCAATGCAAAAATATATGGAAAAAGTAATGATCATGCTCAACCTGCAATAATAACCTCAATATATATGCACTAACTAACAGTAAGTCGCTCTGGATAAGAGCGTCTGCTAAATGACTAAAATGTAAATGTAATGTTTTGTATAATAACCCTAAATATCTGCCCAGTGATTCGCAGACAGTTGCTATCAGTGCAATTACTAACCATAATCGTTTTATGACTAGCTGTCAATAGCTGTCTATTCTTCATCAAAAGGCCATCAATTAGCAGCATGGTTCCAACTTCAGTATTGTAGTTTTACTAGGAACTTGTAATAAATCCCACCTTTACAAAATATTAATTTAACAATTGAAATGAATTATATGTCTGAAACACAAATATTACTTTTCACCCTTACAATGTTTTTGCTATCTCCTTCTATTTATTTCAGCTGTAATAGTCAACCAATATAGGTTACACCAATGAAAATATTTCTCAATTGAGCAGGCCTATATAATATAAAACTACCCAAGAGACTACCCTAATGTTTTTTTCATAGTATGCATGTAGCCTATTCGTCTCTCTCTCTTCCTCTCTCTCTTTACGCATACACGGAAACAGGCAAACATTCAGAGCGTAAACTTCGAAATGAGACAAAATGTAACACAGAAATAATTCAAATATGTTTAAGTATTTACCTGAGCTTTGAGGTGAAGCCTGCAGATGATCTCTGTTGTAATTTCCATATTGTCTGTAGGAATTTGTGTAAGGGTATTCAGACTTGGTGGGATAAACTCCCGCACCACCCATTCCATTCAGATTAAATTGGTGATGGTATGCATTCATTTGTTGCCCGTAGGTTTGACTCTGGTAATATTCGTGATGGCTGTGAGCCGTTTGTCCACTGTAGTAGCCCATGTCCGTGACTGAGGACTCGGGAAGAGTCGGAGAGTCCTTGGAGCTCGGATGGCAACTCATAGATCCGGGGAGATCGGTCAAAATGCTCGCTATCTTCTTCTCATAAGTCTGTCCGCTCATCATGGGTCGCAGCCCTCCAGAGAAAATAGAGTCCACGATAATTCTTAAACACAGGACGTTTGTGCAGTAGTGTTAAAATAAATCGCAGTGAAGAGATGTAGTCAGTAGTGCGCCCTAAACGCAAGTCCTTGGAGAGCAAGTCCTTCTCAAACGCTCCTAGCTGTAGTAACTCGATTGTGGTAGCACTCTACCCCAGTGAAACTGAATTATAGAGTTCTGGGATGGATGCTACGTTCTCATTGGCTCCAGTCAATACTTTTTTTTTCTCTCCCTCTTGCCCTCAAGGCGAAATGGTGGCACTCAATAAACCCTACCCTTAGACTAAAGTGCCTAAACACGCATGTCTTTTGGCATTTCAGGTCTGTCTTTTCAACCTGGATTGAGGGATAGACGTAACATAGTAAATGTAAATCCACAACACTTCAATTAGTATGATATGTTACCTTTCCTATGGTATGTATTCATTTGTGGATGGCCATCAGCCATTTCGTATGATATAATACGAATTACAATTTAGGTTTAGGGTTAGGGTTAGGAGTTAGGTTAAAGGGTTAAGGTTAGTGTTAGGTGAAGGATAAGCTAACATGCTAAGTAGTTGCAAAGTAGATAAAAAGTAGTAAGTAGTTGCAAAGATGCTACTGAGCTCAAATGCTAATGTTGTCCGTAATGAGATTTGAAAATGCAACCTTTTGGATGCTACAGTTGAACTTGGAAGTTTACATACACCTTAGCCAAATATATTTAAACTCAGTTTTTCACAAATCCTGACATTTAATCCTAATAAAAATGCCCTGTCTTAGGTCAGTTAGGATCACCACTTTATTTTAAGAATGTGAAATGTCAGAATAATAGTAGAGACAATTATTTATTTCAGCTTTTATTTCTTTTATCACATTCCCAGTGGGTCAGAAGTTTACATACACTCAATTAGTATTTGGTAGCGTTGCCTTTAAATTGTTTAACTTGGGTCAAACGTTTCGGGTAGCCTTCCACAAGCTTCCCACAATAAGTTGGGTGAATTTTGGCCCATTCCTCCTGACAGAGCTGGTGTAACTGAGTCAGGTATGTAGGCCTCCTTGCAAGCACATGCTTTTTCAGTTCTGCCCACACATTTTCTATAGGTTTGAGGTAAGGGCTTTGTGATGGTCACTCCAATACCTTTACTTTGTTGTCCTTAAGCCATTTTGCCACAACTTTGGAAGTATGCTTGGGGTCATTGTTCATTTGGAAGACCCATTTGCGACCAAGCTTTAACTTCCTGACTGATGTCTTGAGATGTTGCTTCAATATATCCACATCATTTTCCTTCCTCATGATGCCATCTATTTTGTGAAGTGCACCAGACCCTCCTGCAGCAAAGCACCTCCACAGCATGATGCTGCCACCCCGTGCTTCATGGTTGGGATGGTGTTCTTCGGCTTGCAAGCCTTCCCCCTTTTCCTCCAAACATAACGATGGTCATTATGGCCAAACAGTTCAATATTTGTTTCATCAGACCAGAGGACATTTCTCCAAAAAGTACGATCTTTGTCCCCATGTGCAGTTGCAAACCGTAGCCTGGCTTTTTTATGGCGGTTTTGGAGCAGTGGCTTCTTCCTTGCAGGTTATGTCGATATAGGGCTCATTTTACTGTGGATATAGATACTTTTGTACCCATTTCCTCCAGCATCTTCACAAGGTCCTTTGCTGTTGTTCTGGGATTGATTTGCACTTTTCGCACCAAAGTACATTTATCTCTAGGAGATAGAACGCGTCTCCTTCCTGAGCGGTATGACGGCTGTGTGGTGCCATGGTGTTTATACTTGTGTACTATTGTTTGTACAGATGAACGTGGTACCTTCAGGCGTTTGGATATTGCTCCCAAGGATGAACCAGACTTGTGGAGGTCTACCATTTTTTTCTGAGGTCTTGGCTGATTTCTTTTGATTTTCCTATGATGTCAAGCAAAGAGGCACTGAGTTTGAAGGTAGGCCTTGAAATACATCCACAGCTACACCTCCAATTGACTCAAATGATGTCAATTAGCCTATCAGAAGCTTCTAAAGACATGACATCATTTTCTGGAATTTTCCATGCTGTTTAAAGGCACAGTCAACATAGTGTATGTAAACTTCTGACCCACTGGAATTGTGGTACAGTGAATTATAAGTGAAATAATCTGTCTGTAAACAATTGTTTGAAAAATTACTTGTGTCATGCACAAAGTAGATGTCCTAACCGACTTGCCAAAACTATAGTTTGTTAACAAGAAATTTGTGCAGTGGTTGAAAAACGAGTTTTAATGACTCCAACCTAAGCGTATGTAAACTTCCGGCTTCAACTGTAGATCTTTGCGTTATATGCCCACCCATACTTTTGTTTTTGCTTTAAGTAACCTTCTGTCATATATAACCTTACCAAACGTAACAAATCATATTAATTTGAATATCCTGGATTTACATTTACTATGTTATGTCTAGTCTATGAGACCAGGCTGGTCTTTTAGATACAATTTAGTGTAATTTAGCTGTTGACAGCATCACTCAAAAGCATATAACTATTAGCAAACTTTGCATGGCTTCTCCAGTCATCCTGTGCTTTGTTTGAAATGGAGCTCAGCGTACTGACACTCTTATGGCCTACTACTTATCCCACTGTAGCCAAGACGTCTGTCTCATTCATTGTCCTTATTCTTGAGAAGAGCTAAGATACAGAGTTAAGGCAACTTATTCACTTATTCAAAGGTCGCCAAACTGTGCCCCTAGCCTATTCATTCTAATTCAAAATTCAGAAGTGTCCTAGGACAGTGAGCTTGGGGTGAAAGAGATTGAAATGATAAGAAACCCATTCCATTGAATGCCTTTGGGGGAATTCTTTTGTTGTGTGTGTGTGTTTTCCAAAATCGATTTAAAACTCAAAAAACAACAAACTGTTAGGCCTACTGTTATTGTCATGCGTAATGAAAGGAGTGCTCATTGATTCGGTCTCAAAAATGATGTGAAGTGGGTGTATGAAGTAACACTACATCCCGGTTCTGTAGAGTTTCTTTTTGGTGATATTGTCATCATCTATGGTCATTATGGAAAGGCTATACCCCAAGGTGCTAGTAATTTTGAAAAACAATTATATTCTATGCCATTTTTTTATGTAACAAAAACATATATAGTGCATGTTCACTTCTGCTCTTGCAATTCATATAAGAGTAAAATGTATAGTTGAGGTGCTGACATAAAAACAATTATTTTACCAGACTATAGTGACACCATCCACCTCTATGCATTCAGAATCCTGTCGGTGTCACTCACATAAGATATGTAAAAAAATATATGTTACTCAGGCAGTCCAGTCCAAGACAAAAATGTTCCTCGAATGAATTCCTCAAAGTACAGTATTATATTGCATTCTCAATACAACACATTGAACCCCGCCAGTTGAAGAATGAGGTTATACTACCCCCTTGTGGTGTGTTCATAGAAGGTTCAGCAGGAGATGCAAACTGTACTAACTTGGGGGGTGGGGTAATTAATTCGTTTATAAAGCTGCTTCTGGGAAACTCTTCACCAGAGAAGATTGCATTGTGTAATTTCACTTTGACTTTGTTAATTCTTGCTCACAGTTTACAGAAAAATGTACATAAGAAAAAAAGCATAAGAAAACACTCACTTACAAAACACATAATACATGGCATAAATAGAATACAGGACACTTATATACATATATCAGGACATTATTTTCATGTTGGAAAACTGAATTGTTAAAAATGTATTTTTAAAAGAGATCACATTATAAACATTTAAAAGCTAGAGTTATTGTACCGTCTGAAAGCATTAGAGTGGCGTTTCTCAGTCGGTTCGTACGGGCAGGAATACAGGACAGTTCGTGGCTGTTTCTCAGGAGCCTAGTGGTGCAGTCACCTTTTTTTGGAGGGAGCAGGTCGTGCAGTGGGTGTTCAAGAGTGTGTATGTCCTTCACCAGGTGCACTGCAGCCTGCTCTTGCCTTGACTCTCGCATGTGTGACTGCAATTTTGCAATAGAATGACACCACATACTTTATTGGGGTGAAATCAATGAATATATTGAGAAGAAGTAGGCCTAAAGATAATTACTTCTTAAGTCCTCTTCGTCCTGCAGCTTGTGTCCTGTCCCATGAGAGACCCATCTCTTCCAGCTCAGCCATCTGTCCGTCGCCATGTCGCTTTGTGCCTGCCTTGCTTGCGCTTTCCAATTTGTGTCCATCTGGGCCCAGTTTTTCAAACTTTTCTGATTGGATTTCTGCAATCGGATTGGATTAAGGCCTAGATTCAATCAGTATCGCAGAAGATGAACGCTAGAGCGCGATTTAAGTTTAAAGGCAATGTTCCCGCGTTCGCAGAGACTGCATTCATGATAAACGCTGCACCTGTCGGCTCAATCGTAAATTACCTTTACATTTAAATCAAGCTATAACGCAAATCTTCCGCGATACGGATATAATCTAGCCCTAAACGTTACAACTGGGTATTTAAAAACGGAACAATTTGATTCTGATCCTCCGGATAGGGATTCTGATCTGGTAATCAAATCTGACCTGTACAGTTTTTTTAATTGCTTTGGTACTTTTTTCACAAGTATGTGGTGAATTTTCTAAACTCTTAGTACGAAACGCAAAACTGGTAACACTTGCAATGCAGACAGTTTTACATTCAATACCTTTCATTGTACTGTAAATTACAGTAAATTACACTGTTTTCACATTAGGCAATACATGTGCATAACCCATTAAAATTGACTGAACATCACATTTCCATAATTTCTATCCCATGTGTGATCAAAGGTGTGATCATTGAAGACATATTTCACAATGTAATAGAATGAATGAAATGAAAGAAACATGTTTAGCAAGCATAGGTTCTCATCGAAATCACAGTAAATATCCTCATTGTTCATGCACCTGAGGAAAACCCTTTTGGCATGGCGAGACAGCAGGTGCGGTAGAGAGAGAGCGAGCGAGAGAGAGAGAGAGGGTCGAAACAGCAGGTTCAGGACAAGGTAGCAT